AAACGGTACGTAACGAACGTTAGTTAGTTTTTTTACGTTTTTTCTTTTCTTTACTTACGTACCGAACACGACGACGTACGTCGTCGTCGTCGTCGTATTACTGTCTCTCTCTCTCTCTCTCTCTCTCTCTCTCTCTCTCTCTCTCTCTCTGTGGCTGGAAGGCGAGTGATGTCATAAAAGCCAATGACTAACCTTCACTGCACATCCCTTCTCTATGCAATAGGGCTCAAGTGGCCAGCAGAATACCCTCAAACTTGCTGCTGCAGCTTGTGTATGTGCATGTGTGTGTGTGTGTGTGAGAGAGAGAGAGAGAGAGAGAGCTTTACCGGCGCAAGAGGAGGAATTGTTCAAAGTTGAGCAACAAAAATATATTTAACTATTTGGATAATGTGAAATGGTTCACTTTAGGGAGAATTAAAACCCTGGGTTGCATATTAGCATTCATGCATCACACAAATACTTTAGTACATATCATCATTTAAATGTTATGATACCTGTTCGACCCCCAGCTATAATCCACAATGGATGGTGAAGATGAGCTTTCCACTTGGGCAGACAGTGGTGAACCTGAGGCTAACTGCTAATGTCCACCGTCTGTTGTTTAATGTTGACAGTTGAGATGAAAAATATCATACTGCCCAATGCACTGCCATATAGAATTTTAAAATCGGTGAACTTTAGAGCTTGTAGGTTGCATGTTTCGCCCCCCCCCCCCCCCCTCTACCCCAAAAAAAAATAAAAAAATAAAAATAAAACAATACCTCGGAAAGAAAAAAATGACACCCGGCCCACCCCTCCTCTCTTACTTCTTATTTTTGCATGCAAAACTATATGACAGTTCTCAACTCTAAATATGATAAATATTAAATTTTCTCTGAAGCCATTTTTCAATCTTGTAAACTTTTGGCTCTAAAAATTTTACAATAACATATTTTCAAACCCAAGCTCACCCAAGTTAATTACGTCAGGGTTTTGATGAACTTGCTAGACTTTTCCAACCCATTGATGAACTTGCTAGGCTTGGACTGAACTTGTACTTCTTTTTCTAAAAAAGAAATATTCAACCCAATGGCTGTGATACTCAATTGGGTGCAGAAAAGCAGCGGGATGGACACAGCGAACAACCGTGATTGTGCCAGTTTGGTTCCTGTAGGATCTTTCAAAAGAGAAGTGGCACGTAATTCAGTTGCTGATGCCAAAGATGTAGACATGTGAAGTCAAATTGGTGAGACACTAAGTTTGCCCTCTTTTACCACTGGTATACTCCGTCCTTTTTTTAATGTTCTTGTGTTTTGGTTCCTACAGGTCATGGGCCACTGGTTTTCAATTGTTGCTAATTTATCTTCCTTGCCTTTTATTTTGGTGGTAGGGGGTCGGCAACTGTGGTTGATTTGGTTTGGACTGTAAAAACCTGTGCATGACATCTATGGACCATATGGCATTCTGTGTACACTACGAATTGTACAAAGACGAGAGCTTGCTCTGCTCATTAACTGTTTTTTGCTTAGCATTGGTCCATTGGAGTGTATGGCTGGATCATGTAAAGTAAGTAATGAAATGTAGTGTGCGATGAGGTTCGGTACGAAACCTCACCTCACCCCAACCATGTGATATCTACAGTGGACAGCTGGGATGTGTTGGTCCTCCTCCCATGCCAAAATTTTGTGACTTTGAGCAGGGGGACTGCACACCAGCCATCTGCTGTTGACATCAAAAGACTGTGAAATGCGAAGTTTGCTACAGAACCTCACTGGTGCATTATGAACCCATAAATAAATAATGAGAAATAAGCCATTGGATCATGTTTTCATCGGGTTTTATGAAAATCTTTTTTGAAGGTTAACGGACACATTAGATATGGTTTTCATGTGAGTCGACAAGACTCTGATCCAACATTTGGGTTCAAACCCACATTATGAATGTAGATTTGACATATACAGGATCCATCTCACAAGCATGCATGCATGCACGGGCTTGAGCACACACTATAAGTTGGTGAACTATAGAATAAAATTGTTTATATTGCACAGAGCGGTCACAATCATCTTTGCCCGTTGGGTTTGAAATTAGATGGCTTAAAGTTCAAAAAGGACAATTTATACTTTGTGAAATATTCCAAGTTGTTGAATTTTTTGTCTTCTTTTTTTTTAAATATAATGTTAGCAAGATTTCATTTAAATGATGAAAACCACAACAGTAAATAGCAGAAAAGGAAAGAGCACAAGCAGAAGAGGACAAAAGGAAAAATGGTTATAGTGTAGCTCCAACTGCCTCCGTCATAAGTCTATCAGCTTCACCATTCCTTTCCCCGTTGAATCCAGATTCATGGTGTAGAGTCTGGGGCTTGACACCATTTAATGACATTGGTCAAGTCTCCTTCCACATTCACTTTTGTTTAATGGAGAGTTAATTTTAGAACATTGTGCTTTGGAGCCCACGGTTCCATCTCATATATACTATAGGGGTGTAAGCGGCCCTGGTAAGCCCTCCAAATGGAGCCACCCGACCTTCATATCTCACACTGCCATCAAATTTCAATTTAACCCAATGGGCTTGGGTTGGTGGAGGTTTCCATAGTGAAGATCTTACAATCCTCTTCTTTGTACTGAAAAATACGCCCCTAAAATTGTTAACAAAAAGTTCGTTGGGCACATCTTTGAAAGCTAGCTGACCTTGGGCCCAATTGGTGATGGAAGGTGTGATAGCAAATAGGATTGAGTTGTATCTCTCTAGCCTTACCTACAAAAGATCTGTAGTTTATTTTTTCTAGAGTTTCTAAAACACTGCAGCAATCGTAATCCTCTAAATAGTGATACCATGAGTTGTGATCAGAGTTGGGAAAAGGGTTGGGGTCGTGTTGGTAGCACCCCGCATCTTAGTCATCACGTTGTGGTTTCTATTCCTACCACTAGCACCATCCCACTAATACTTTCAAAAAAGCTAATATTTCATCTACTTGAAAAAACAGGTAGAGAGGCCTATCTTCCCCACTGAATTACCCAAAGAAAAATGAGTTGTGAATGGAGGCCATGCATTTGCTATGTGTAAAGGCACATTCCATATGCTCTATCAAGTGGGCTGAGAACAAAGAAAAAACCCTTTATATAAGGTTACAACCTTAAAATGTAGAATTAATATGCGCCTTGAAAAAACATTTGAGAAAGGTGTTTTGATGTTGAAATACCCTCTAATCGATCATCTTGACATTGAGATATACGGAAATGAAAAACAAATGTTTTCAAGTCTTAACAATAGTGCATCTTACAACACATTATTTGAATTGCCTATTTTCAAGATTTTCATTTGTTTATAGATCTGAGCTTCAAATTTTATATTTAAAAATAAAAATAGATTCTCAGGCCAATCCAAAATATTTTCAACACCAAAATTGGACAAAGTTTGGAGGTGCGTCTTAATTTAATTGTTTAATGTTGCAACTTTATGCAAACCTCAGCTGAGAGCAAATACTGCTCCATGAATTATTTGTTTCATAAGTTACGATATACCTTTCCGTGAGAAAGGTAGGGGAGATGGGGACATTCAGTCTTTACCATTCTTCAGGGGGAATCCATGGTGCTTGGGGAGATAAAAGAGATCATGGAGCAAGGGAGAAAGGAAAGGAGGAGTGCATAGAGGTTAGGGAAAGGTAAGGATGAGAACAAGGAGTTTAAGCGAAAAAGAAAGGAGGCGAACATGAAGGTCGGGGGAAAGGTAAACAGCTTTTGTATGGCGGAGAACTAGAAGGATGGCTCCTCGGGGAGCAGACATAGCATTCTGGTGTTCTTCAGCACTCTACCAAGGTGGTAGAAATAGAAGATAAGTACTAGGAGACATGGTGTGTACTGCTAAAGAATTCTTTGGTTTGTTCTTTTAGTCCAACTTATCAAGGGTTTGAAATTGTGGAGTTAAGATTTGTGGTTGTAGCCTAAAATGCAAAACTGTTCTTGGGAATTGAGTTCTCATCATTTTTCGTTGGGAGGATGACGCAAGAAGGATTCACACCATGGGCAGGAAAGATTTCCGTCCCAAATGAAGATACTTTCTCGGAGTATTAGGGGTTTTGGGGGGCATTAGAAGACGAAAGGTGTTAAGGCGATTAACCATAGACAATAAGTCGCATGTTTTACTCCTCCAAAAGACTAAATTATCAAACCCTAATGTTTCGATGATTAGAAGGGAGGAGGCCATTTTGTGGATTACTATAAAAATATTTTACTTCAAAAACTTGGCTTCCTTTTTCCATTGAAGGCACTCCATTCAAAAAGCTCCTTTTCATCAGTGCAGAGGTTTTAGAAGAAGGCTTCTCGATGGAAGTAATGAAAGAATCAACTTTTGGTTTGCCTCGTGATAAAGCTCTAAGGCCAGATGGTTTTCAAGTGGCCTTCTTTCAAGACTTGTGGAATATAATCAAAGAAAATTTAAGCCTTTTCCTCCAAATATTTTATAATGATGGGGTTGTCAAGAAAGCCCTAAAATCTACCCTCATACTAATAAGTTTGCTCTCAAATGCGATGAATTTATCTCTGGAGCAAGTATCAATTTGCACCAGACAAAATTTATGGGCAACAATTGCAAAGAAGAAGAGATCAATAGATGGGTAGAACGGATGGAGTGCAGTACTGATTCCTTGCTGGTAAACAGATGGCATGTTACGTCACTCCTCTTGGGATTTGACAATCCAAATATTCCAATACAAATTGGATGGTTGAAAACCTCGATATCTCTCTCTTGGTGGAAGAATCACCCTCCTCAAAGCCGCATTATCCAAACTACCAGTTTACTACTCGTTCAGAGCCCATGTTAGGTGAGGTGACTCGAAACTTTGATGAGGAATTTTCTCTAGAGTGGGTCACATCAGAATAAGAAATTTAAGCTGGTCAAATGAAATGTAGTATGTCTCCCTAAAAAAGGAGGAGGATTAGGCATTTGGCGATTTCAAACATTCAATGAAGCACTATTAACCAAGTGGTGGTGGAGGCTCAACCAGGACAATGGTTAGTTATGGAGACGGGTGATTCTAAAATATCACACAGATAAGCGTGGTTTTATAACTAAGAAGCTACCCAAAGGTGGCTATGCTTCAATGATTTGGAAAGGGATTGAATCAGTTAAGAGTTCTAGTTCTAGCTTATAGCAGAATGGTGGAAGGAAATGGAAATAGAATTAGATTCTGGTCTTCCAAATGGATTGGTAATATTCCTTTGAAAACAGTTTCCACAACCATACAAACACTTGACATAGAAAACAGCCCTCATAATTAGGGAGGCAAATCAGGTCATTTGCGATATAAGATTAATATTTGAAGAGTGGATTAAGAAATAGAACAACAATTTAATGCCTTGATAGGGGAATTATACAAGTTTTTCTACTATCCCAAGAAACAAGATAGATTCGTACGAGTTAAATCCAGGAGGTTGTTTTTATAGTTAAATTTCTTCATGCTTGGATCACAAGAGACAAACATCAGCATAACAACAATACATGAACAAGGCATGGTCGTGTAACTTACCTCATAGAGTGCAAGCCTTTTAGTGGCTCTAATGCCAAGATCAAACTCTTTCAATTGAACAACTTAGGAAAAGGGGCATGATGATCACGACAAGTATTTATTTTGCAAAAGGGATGCAGAAACAAACAATCATCTATTCATCCATTGCTCCTAGCCTAATCTATATCCATTGTACAAAATTGTACTATACACAATCGAGGTGCATAATTTGCATAAGGGCTCATTACCACCGTGCTATCAATGATAGACAATGGGTAGGCACATTATGCACTGTTTCACATGGTATATATTGCAATTTTAGGCATAACCATCTTAAATGGGAAAAAAACAGATGGCCAGGGGAAGATAATACATTTCTTGATGGTTACAGTTAGGGTTGGCAATGGACCGAGTGGCTCGGCCCTAAAAGACTAGGGCCTAGGTCACACTTGAGGGCCGGGCTTGCTCTAGTGCCACCAAGGCCCGACCCTATTTCTTTTCTTGTTTTCTCTTTGATTATTCTTTATTTTTTTTGGCTCAACCCGGCCCAGCCCGGCCTAGCCCTAACATGGCCAAGGCTGGGCCTGAGCCTGTCCCTATAAGGGCAAGGACAAGCCTAACCCCAACCCCAACCCATTGCCACCCTTATATGATTGAAGTTGGTCATTCTTTACCAATTAACAATAGTGTTGTTAGGAAACCAGCCCAGGCTTAATTGGTTAGCAATTGACAATTTACAACACTACATCCTTTGCTTAATTCCGACCAAAGGTAGGGCCCTCTCCTCCCCATTGACTCAGCCAAAAAAAAAAAAAACCAATAGTGTTGCAGTTTTTTGCGCATGGCTCATTACCTTGAATTGCTTATTTCAAATATTTTTTTGGCTTGGATCATTTTCTTGAAGCGCGCCGTGAAAGAAGTATGGGGTAAAATCTGTAGATAGCTGGGGTACTTTAAACCGTTTTTGTATACATATCCATTTATCCAAAATACCGAAGAGAAATTTTGTAAAGTGGCGGTTGATTAAATTATAAAGGGAATAATCATTTACTTTTAATATAAGCTGGTCACAATTACTCTTCGCTGTTAGATTTGAAATTAGGTCGTTGAGGACGTGTAAATGTTTGAACATAAAGTCCAAAATAAAATTTATCGAATGTTGTGACATACTTCCATCTATTAACCCTACATATATTGTGCATTTTCTTCAATTCCACTTATGTTCACACGTATTCCAATGGGCATTTTGAAAATAAATTAAAATATATTGGTAAAATGTGAAATAGTTAAAAAGACCTGTATATTATGATAAAATATTTTAAACTTATAAAATAAAGACATGATTTTGC